GACTCTGTATTCGGCACTTCAGACAGAGCACACTGCACTTCCTCAAGGAAGGTCTCATATTCTCCTTCTAGATTGGGCACATAGACCTGTACGAAGGTCATCGCTTTAGACTGCTGTGGCTTCATTCGAAGGATTACCGCCTTCCGCTGACAGGCTTCCAATCAATAATTTGATCAATGAGGTTGGGTACTACCAGAACACCAAAACCGGCCTGAGCGGGAGTCGTGATATCGACACTTCAGCAGAATAGCTTCCACCCGCTACAGTTCAAAATTCCAGAGCTTTGGCACTTCGTTAACGAGAGTTGAACTCTGTCGAGTTGGTATGTTGCGACCTCATCAACTAGCCCTTTTCGTTTCCTATGAGTTAGGAAATATTTCACTTTCCTACCGTAAGCTTCCGTAGCGATTCCGCTGCTGACTGGTACCTTCCTGGTCGTTCCATCGATCTTCGGCAGCCCTCGTTCTGATGCTACGCCGCCAGTTGCCAGAAGAAGGTGAACAGGTTTTGATCGCTCTCTTCTCGCAGCCTGTCTCATTGTTCTAACAGTCTGTGCTGCCTTTGGTAATCCGGCCACGACCGAGTCGGTATGATGTTCGATGGCGGCAATAGCATACGGGGCAGGTGGTTAAGTTTACACCAACTTTTACCGTCCTCCTTTCATATCCTGACTTAGGAACGGCAAAGTCGAGTATTATATAGGTGCTGTAAAACGTAAATACGATTTGGCATGACATTTCTTGTTTTAGAGTTTCGAATGCATTTGCTCAGGCCATAATTGCAACGGATTTTCAAAATCAGTTTCGAAGTTTCAGCCGCTGTCCAGCGATCGACCGTTGGTCACATGTTACAGCTGCTCCCACAGTTCCACAGTGCCTTTCCGCCGGACGGTGTGCCGACAGAATACGTGTCGAGGTCAGTTCTGCTTTTTAAGCATAGAGAACGCCAATGTTCCAAGCGGATTGCACGCACAAACGTCCGGCTGTTTGAATTCGACTATTCCGAGTCACGTTGTACTCGGATGCCGCCACAATTGGATCCTGGACCAGAGGGAACGAGTAGAATGCGTGTGTACTAAGGACTTGTGCAACTCTGAACCTAGCACTGCTCATCGTAGTCAAACGACTGGAAGAGGCATGGGCACCGTTTTCCGTACAAGTCGCGGTCTCATCCTAGTCACCTCAATTCTTGGTGGACTGCTTTGGCAAACAGGACGAAGTTGAATTCCCGGTCACAGACCATTACCTACCAGATTGGCATGCTCATCACTCAGCTTCAAACGTTTTTTTTGTGGCGCATCTGTTTGTGCAAAATAAAGTCGTTTTCTTCGCAGAGCAATATTTGCACCCTACGCAATCCAGGCACTGCCCCCTGTTCATAAACATGTAGCATGCAGCTTATCATGCTCGCGTGTGGAATACTCACTCACCATGAATGAGTGC